GGGCGGGCGGGCGGGCGCGCGCGGGCGGGCGGGGCTCAGGGAAGCCCGGAGGTTACCTGGGAGGCCTGCTGCCCGCTGCCGGAGAACACCGTGGTCAGCCCCTTGCTCTGCGGCGTGGGCTTGAGGCTCTTGCCCGCCTTGATCTCAGCCAGGAGCTCGGAGTTGTCGCCGGTCGGGGACATCATGTTGAAAGACTTGGTGCCTGCCGGGAGCAGAAGAGGATGCGATGGCCAGGGTGGGGACCTCACCCCTGCCGCCCCACACGGCCAGCCCGCGGCTCTGCGCCCCCTCCCAGGTCAGACCTGGCGATGAGGGCACCTCCCCTTAGGCGTGAGGGTGGTTCAGGGACCCCGGCCCAGAGGTTCTCAGCGTCCCCAGCGGCCAGTTTGATCCCAGAACTCTGCTGCCCGCATCCTCCTGGCTCTACTCACAGGAAGTGGCGTCCCTCCCTGGGGGGCCCTGGTTGTCCATGGTGGCTCCTGGGCTGGCACTGGGACCTAGTGAGTGTCTGCCCAGCGCACTGACCGTCCAGCTCCAGAACACTAGCTGGGGCTGGTAGTCGACCTTTGTCCTGGGCTCCCTGGCTCTGCCCTGCCGGGTGGAGTCCTCCCCTGGCCCTGTCTCTGCATCAGCAAAGGCCAGTGAACCTTGGACTGAGTCACCTGCAGACTCTGTGTCTGCAGCACGCAGCACATGGGACCTGGAGCCCGCACACAGCTGGTGCCCTCTCCCACACCCAGAGACAGACAGGCTGGCTGCAAGCCCCAGCACACTCATGGTGGGGCGCAGAGGACAGGAAAGCGGAACTTTACTTAGAAGCTCAGGTGAGGGCGCCAGAAAGGGGCCAGGCGGAGAGCTGCAGACTCAGTGCTATTTGCATGCTCTGCATGAGGTGGAGGTGACTGGGGTGTGGAGGGTTCTCTGTGGAGTCCCCCGATGGCCGGCCGGCCGGCGCCTAAAGGTGCTGGCAGGCACGGGGGTGGGGGTGGTGCATTTATTTAGGCAAAACTGTGGGCTGGGCAGACTGCAGGGCTGGCTCGGGGAGCACTGGGGTGAGAGGGGAGGGGTGGGCAGGAGCCAGAGCCAGGGTGTCTAGGACCCCTTGCCTGCCGGCCCCTGCCCTGCCCTTCCATCAAGTTCTGGGGCCCCTGGAACTTTCCCCTTTTCCTTAGCGCAGCTTGACCCAGCCCCCACCCCCTGGCCAAGAGGCACACGCTCGCCCACGCAGCTACTCACTCTTCCTGTGCCTCAGGACTCTCACTTCTAGGACCAGAGGAGAGAAGTGACAGCGAAGTTAGGAGGCGAAGGAGGACAGGGGGAGACTAGGACAGCAGGGGCAGCAGGGATACGGAGAGGTCAGGGAGGCAGGGGGAGGCGGGGGAGGGCGGGGAGGAGCGGTCTGGCCAGCTGACCCTGGCTCTGGCTGCCCTGGGGCTCCAGGCTTGCACTGGTGGCCCAGTTCCCAGCCTGGTTGGGTCCCTGAGAGCGGGCAGGGCTGCCACTGACCCTGGCCCCCTAAGCCGGGGCCTCCGCTTGGCATGGGGTGAGGGAGGGCAGCCGGCCGGGCTCTGCAGAGTGGGACTGGAGAAGCCCTCTGTCCTCCAGCCTTGCTGCAGGCTGCTGAGAAGGAACAGCTGACCCCAGAGCGGAGGGGCGCTCTGCTGGGGCTCAGTGGGCATAGGCTACCTTGGGACCGCTGGTGGGTGGGACCCCTGGTACCCCAGGGAGCCCGGGCTGGCAGACTGGACCCTGCTCTCCTAGGTAGCTTTGAACAGCATCATAGCCCATCCCTGCTCTGAGCGCGGTGGCGGGTGGGGAGGGCAGCCCACCACGTCCAGCTGGATGAGGGGTCAGCACCCAACACTACTTCCCCCAGGAAATCTACCGGATCTCAGCTCCTGCTCACACTAGGAAGTCTAGGAACGAACCCTGGCCACCAGTCCAGCGCTCTCAAAAGATGCCCAGGAGTCCCCAGGAAGGGCTGGGGAAGGCATGATGGGTCACTGGCTTTGTTCCCAAGACCAGGGCCTGGGCCCCTGGGGGAGATCTGGCTAGTTTGTGTTCCTAGGGCCGCTGCGAGTGCCTCCAGGCTGTAGCTACCTTGGAAAGACAAGAAGGTGAGGCATGGGCCAACACGCAGCCTAGCTGTGGGGCCACCGGGTTGACCAGCAGCCCCTGGTCAGGGCGGCGCTTCCCTCAGGCCCCCTCTCCTCAGAAACACACCAGCCCCTAGCGCCGGGAGAGGCGGGGCTCCCGGAGGTCACACAGCCCCTCCCCAGCCTCCTTCGGGTCAGGTCCTTCTGGGAGGGGCAGCAGGAGGAGGAAGCAGGGAAGAGGAAGCGCTGGGGTGGGCACAGCTGGGGGAGGTTTCCATTTCCCTCCCCTTTTCGGGGCAGCGCCGCCCCCCACCCCTCAGCCCTCGACTCACTGCCAGTGGACGAGGAGGAGCGCCGCTGCCCGCAGCCAGAGCCCGCGCCCTCGAGGGGCAGGGGCGGCGCGGGCGGGGGCGCGCTCAGGCCGCGCCCCCACCTCGGACC